CGTCTTTGAGTGTCCAAAAAAGCGCTATATAAAACCGATGCATTATTATTATTATTAATTAGGCCCAAGCACCACAAGCTGGCTATGGGACACTTAAGTCTCACTCATAACCATCTAAGCTGATGCTTAAACAAACACATAAAGTTGTGTCTCTGCAGTTAACAATATATTTGATAACTTCCACGGTGTGTGGGTATTCTGACGACACATCAAGACATTTTAGTCATTTATACAGTGTTTAATGACTCTGTTTGGGCATCCCAAATAAAAAAGTTAATGGGAGCCATGCTATATTTGTTACTGTGTTGCTGTGGCAATGACAGATAAAAACAGTTTTTGTCAATTGAAAAGTCCTCATTTCTCAACATCAGCACACAGCACGCGCTTAACAGTATTCAGACGTTAACATGATATTTTATTTGTATAAATGAATGTAATATGTTTACGTAAGTCAAAGGGAAACGTTAATATCTCACAAACAGCCTTAAGTGCTGGTTCAGCGGCTCAGCATCCCCCATTTCCTACAGTTGCGTGGCACGATATGGGTTTGTTTTCACTGGAGGAAAACATCTCCAATGAAATGTTGGTCACTGTTTCATGCAGAGTGAAGCCATCCGCAGAACCTGTTTAAGATACAGTGTAGTGGAATAAACTGGATGGATGCAGTTCCTGCACTTAGAGGATGTCACAGATTGTGCAGCGCTTACAGCACTTAGAGCGTCAGGCCTTTTTAGAGTGTCTCTAATAACCTTTCACATATGTTCCTGTAGTGTTCCCGAAAGTGCTTTTTCACAGACTTTTTTGGGATGGGATTTTTTGATCTCGTGTCCTGGAGCAAAAGACAGATACTAAACAAACAATATGTGCATCATTGAGATTTCAAGATATGTGCTCATGTTCATAAAATCACACTTTTCTTTGTAAATTTAGAGTTAGGCTGCTCGGATGATTCTTGACATGTCACCTGCACTAAGATCATATCCTGCTCAGATACACAAAAGGAACTCAATTCCACTTTTTCTGGACGAGAGACCATTTCAGAGACCATAGATTTTTGTATTACTATATTTTGATATATTTATGAAGAACAACTTATTGCTCAAATTAAATAATACATTGTCTCATTGTATGGAGCAAAGTATGTCATTTTCAGTGACTAAAATCACAGCCACTATACTTTATATTTACACACAGGTAAATCAATTCAAATCATTGTAACAAAACAGTGAGGATAAATGTATCTATATGTAAATATGAAAATGCAACAAAGATATACTGGTTTTACTTAAAATGAGATGTTGACAAGCAACTTATAACTTCAATTCAAACATATGGTTTTGCTTGTCCCACTGGTAAATCTGGATCTGGATTTAGACTGCTTATAGTTTTGGAAGCGTGATTACTCAGAGTATGTACATGCCTGAATACTGTAGGTGTAGGTGTCTTTTGTCAAGAAATAACTCAAGAAAAGTACATCTGAAGTAAACCACTTCTTGGCTTTAGCGCAGTGTACCACAAACTAGTACAATAGATTGTCTGTGGCACACATTAGTCTCAAACTTGATTCATGATGGTTTCACACATGACAGAGATCCGGTCTTTGCCCTGGATGCGGTTTGAGGCTTTGTGATGCAGAGTGCGATGAACGCGATGGCCTTGACATCAGATTATTGCTGTGCTGGAGTGGCTTTGTGCTGCTTTGCTCTCATCTCCTCTGCACACCTGACTCCAGCGCTTCCCTGGCTCTGTCTGAACAAGTGCTGCCTCTACAAACCCGCTATGAAAGAATTATTCAAGCATTTGGAAAGTAGCACCCTAGAAAAAAAAAAAGGTCAATTGAATAGATGACAAATAATGACGCCAGTTCTTCATGTGCCCTTTCTTTGCTTGCCTGGCTTATAATGTGAAATCAAAAAGGTAAATGGATTGCTTTATATATATGTATATATATATATATATATATATATATATATATATATTAGTGCTGTCCAACGATAAAAATATTTAATCGCGATTAATCACATAAATTTCATAGTTAACTCGCGATTAATCGCAAATTAGTCACACATTTGTGTGGGTGTGTGTGTGTGTGGGTGTGTGTGTGTATGTGTGGGTATAGACCAGGGGTGCTCAATACGTCGATCGCGATCTACCAGTCGATCGCAAAGGTAGTATTGGTAGATCGCATTAAATAAATGAAAAAATTACACATTCTAAACGAATATATACAAAAAACTCCGGGCAAAGTGGAGATTTTTGAAAACTCCGTTAATGCATTTGTGTGTAGACAGAGATAACCGGAGTTTTGCGTTCTCGCACGCCACAGTACCCCCCTAATTCCTCTGATCACTGAAGCATGGATCATACGACCTTAAAAACTGTTTGCGGTGAGATGCTCGCAGCAGCAAACATCCTCGCTCCACATCAGAGAGCAGCAAAGTGATCGCGGGGACTCACGCTCGAAAACAACCAAACCAGGACTAAACCAGGACTTAACCAGGACTAAACCAGGGCTGAGGACGGGGTCAGTGCTTGTAAACATACGTCTTTAGTCTTCTATGACTGTAAAAGTGCCGTTACCGGCATCTGCATCAAAACTCCGCCCACTTCTGTGTTTTTCCCCAACGCGGGACAGGACGTAAGAGACGCACATGTTTGGAATGTTACGAATGTGATTGATAACGCAGATGTGTGGATGCAAATTATTTTATAAACTGAGGAGGGGAAATATTCGGATTTAAAAAAAACAGGCATGGCACATAGACATGGCACCACAGTCAAATGACATCTGTGTTTTACTCAGTAAAGTTTTACTGACACTTAGGTGACTGCACATGCGCAAACAACCGCGCTCAGTGCAGGAAAGCTAAACCACGACAAACTTGCCAGCGAGTTACCAACAATTTTCCGGACTATGCATCCCTGGCCGATTCAATTCAGTGCAAGTCATAAGAGTAAACTCGGGTAATGACAAAAAATGTACATAGGTAATTGTGTTGTGTTGTGCTATATTGGCTCATGCAGTTTTGCATGTACATAAACATACATTGTAGGTATAAAGAATATTTTTTGAAATAAATATATGATTTGCATTTTTGTAGTAGGTAGATCATTTTGACTTGATCCTTTTATAAGTAGCTCGCATGCTGAAAAAGTGTGAGCACCCCTGGTATAGACCATAGACTGTATAGAAACATCATGGTGTCATTATGATGATGATAAACAATCTGTAAATATTTTGTAAATTTGTTCATGTAAATACTCTATGCTGTTTCTCTGTTTACTTTCGGTATATCTATGACTGTATACTGTTTGCTTGTATTGCCTTTTTTATTAACCCCTCCCCCCCATCTCCCACTTCATGTAACCCTCCTATCCAGTGTTGTGCCAGTTCACAGCTTTTCTGAACTAGTTCAAGTTCAGTTCATACATGCTCAAAGTGAACAGAACACGTTCAAAGTTCACATTTTTAATTCTGAACTAGTTCAAAGTTCAGTTCATTTTACTATTTTTCGTGAGATAAATACATATTTTTTTCACACTACGAGCTATATATATATATATATATATATATATATATATATATATATATATATATATTTCCTGTACACCCACAGGAGGAGAGTCTTTTTAGCTTTCTGGTCCGCAACAAAGTTGTCAATCTCATCTTGTCTGTTAGTCATTTTTTCTGACTAATGTAATTTCTTCCTCTGGCTCGTCAAACTCGTCCGGATAATAGAATTCACTGGAGAATGCTCCCAGTTGTCGCCCATTATTTCTTTTTTACCGAGGAAACTCAGGAAAGAAATCAATTGTGATACGCACTGCGGACTGATTGTCATGGTAAAGGTCTGAGATGGGAAAATATCAGACCGGTAATCAGCCAATCAGAGCGCGTGTACGGTCCAAGTCATATAATAAATACACACACATAATTGGCCGGAAATGTTACAGTTTCAACCTTCAATCGGAATGAACCCAAAAATGATACGCACTTTCAAACCAATCACTTAATGTCATAGTGATAATCAATCAATCAAATTTTATTTATAAAGCGCCTTTCATACAGATGCAACCAGCTGAAAATGCATCATCCAAGGAGCTGTCTGCACCAGGAGCAGCGAGCCGCCCGTAGCCACAGGGGACAACACAGGACCCAGAGGAGACACGAATCCGAGGCTCCAGCCCCCCAGCAGGCCCAAGGGCCAGACCCCAGGACCCAAAGGAGACATGAAGCCGAGGCTCCAGGCCCCCGCCAGCTCCATGAGTCTGACCCCCACAGCCGACCACCGCTCCCAGTGCAGAGGGCTCCTCCAGGGGAAACACTGGGGATACTAAAAAACATAAAATAAAAAAACAGTAAAACACTCAAATGTGAGACTAAAAGGAAGAATCCTACGATACATTTATAATAGCAATAACAATAATACATAATAAAGCTAAATGTGTCTATAAGATAGATAGGATAATAGCCTGGTTGTACCACACCTTAGTACAAATTACATGTCATACTAAAGTCTGGATTTGCTTCATTGAGCTCCATGAACAGGTGGGAGGGGTTAACTCCTTGTGCAGATTGAAACGACTTGAGTTTACCCTGATCTTGACGTCACCGGCACCGACCTACAACACCCGCCTTCCGCGGTCTCTGAGTAGCCGGTCGAAATACGGCCGATTGTAATCGCTAACACAGGGACCAGACCCAGACGTTACATGCAGTGAAATGATGATTGAACGGAGTGTACGGATGGCTATGGCCAGGCTAATAGAATAATGAAGCTTAAGCGTAAATTCAGAGTGGGAGACCTGAGAACCCAGCTCTGAGCGCTCAGTTCTCCTGCTGTTGCCCACAGCAACAGCAATCCGTCAATCACACTCAGCTGCACAGCGCCTCACGCAAATCCTCACCTGCAGCGATCAGGCACTGCCCGCATCAGCTTCATATCACGGCAGAAGTTCCATCCAAGCAGCAGCTTCATTCATGCCGCAAGTCTCACTCGTCACCCGCACACTGAGTACGTGCTGCACCGCTGTGGTCTACTCACTGCTCGGTCGCTTCGTTCTCTGCTTCCTCGGCTAGCCGTGGCTGTTCGCGACCCTAGCTGCCCCTTTCGCTTCACCACTCTTGCTGCAAGTTGCATGCCGCGGCCGGTGCGTCTCAGCTCGTTTGCCTCTGCCCCCTCTTCGGACCGGTGCATGCAGAAAGGCGTCTGGACCGGGGCTGGAGTGCTTCTGGCTTGCAGTCTGGGACCTGAGGGTGTTCGTTCGACCCTGGTTTGCGCCACCACCACCATCTGCTGGTAGTTCCCGGATTCGGGGCTAGTGTTTACCTCCTCTCGCTGAGCAACGTCTTGTTTTCCCCTTTACTGGGCTGCAGGCGCTTGGCATGCATCATTGTGTGTGTGGGGGAATATTTTCCCCGCGTAACTTCCTTCTAAGCTAATAACTGTTAAATGGATTGCTGTGAAGGAAGTACTTGGATGGACATAGTTGACAGTGATTAAAGTGAGAGTGAGCTCGAGCCGGGGCAGCGGCTCCCAGCCCTTGGTTGGTTATTTTGGCGCTGGTTCTGCTTCTGGTGCGTCGATGGCCACAGTTTGACGCCAGGCCGCACGCTTTGACGCGCCAGTGGTTGCATTCTTCTACGCCCTCTTTGACAGGTGGTTGCTGCTCGATGCTGATGATTGTGGCTACAACAATGACCACACCGGTGGCAGCCTCCTGCCGCACGCCCAATGCCACGCCGGCGGCTTGCCCCCGACCACGCCGGTGGTCTGCTGCGACCTGCGGCGCATTAATTCTCTCCTCTTCTTCACAGTACGGCTTCGTGCCTTCTTACAGCGCCCGGCGGGACCATAGCGTGACCATCTGGCCTGGGCTCGGTCATAGACGCAGACTGCACCGCTTCGTCCCTCCCCTCTTCTTTGGGGGTTAAAAGTATCTCTCAGCACTGCTTTGCCGCTTAATCAAATCAGTACCTGGTGGTGGTTCATATGTTCTACGTGTTGCATACAGTCTATATATTGCATAAGTCCTGGATCTATATATAGCCCGTCCGTCAGTGTGAAGCGGATCCCTCTCTTAAAATGTGGGTCTCCCCGAGGTTTCTCATTTTTTCCCACTGGGTTTTTGTGTTTTTCCTTGCCGATGCAGGAGGGTCTGTTGGTCTAACAAAAAGGACAGCAGTGATGATCCAGGATATTTAGGCACTAACGATTCAGTTATTCCTGTTATGAACTGTAGTATCTGCTTACGTCGCTTCCCGCAGCACAAATCATTGCTTTCTTCATCAGCAGCCTCACGTCATTCCTGTCGGCCTTTGCTGCCGCCATACATCAAATATCTTCTGGCAATCATTCCTTTTCATTCACAGCCTTTTTCCCCGGCAAGCAATTTCCAAGGTGCCGGCACCTTCCTTTTGGGGGATTTCATCTCATAATCTCTTTCCCCTTCTGGAATTGTACAGTGCTCTGCCGGGGTCTAAGCGTCAAATCCCAACCACATTCTGTTCAGCACAATAAATATAATCTTGAAAATATTGTCTTTAGTGTCATATGTGTAGTGCAGTGTCAGACCAACTTACAACCAACTTACAATTCTAATACTATGTTTGCCTGTTCGAGTCTCTGAAATGAAGCTTAAGCGGCAATTCTCAGCTCTGAGCGCTCCAAAACAGGAGCGTTCAGTTTTCCTGCTGTTGCCCACAGCAACAGCAATCAGTCAATCACACTCAGCTGCGCAGCACCTCACGCAAATCCTCACCTGCAGCAATCAGGCACTGCCGCATCAGCTTCATATCGCGCAGAAGCTCCATCCAAGCAGCAGCTTCATTCATGCCGCAACCCTCCTCCTCCCCATCTCCGCCTTGTTCTAGGCCAGCTCCTTCATCCTTTTCCTAACTACTACCACCACCAGGGTCAAGACCCCGGGGGATTTCATCTCCTAATCTCTTTCTCCTTCTGCAATCGTGCAGTGCTTTGCCGGGGTCTAAGCGCCAATTCCTAACCACATTCTGTTCAGCACAATAAATGTAATCTTGAAAATGTTGTCTTTAGTGTCGTATGTGTAATTCATGCAGTGTCAGATTACCTGCCAACCAACATACAATTCTAATACTATGTTTGCCTGTTCGAGTCTCTCCAGATTGAACTAAAAAGATGCGTCTTGAGCCTGCTTTTAAAAATATGAATGTTCTCTGTGGCCCTGAGCTCAAGGCCACATCTACCCCCATAATGTATTTACAGTAATTATTTCTCCCTTCAACATTGAGTGGAACCATCTGTCCTTTTACTAATAATAATGAAAAGCTATTTAAAAACTGAAAATAAAAGCAGCTATGTTAGAAATTTAGAACTTAGACCTGAATCTTCCAGAAGTCCACAATAATTTCCACTGTCTTCTCTCCAATGAACGTAATGTACAGACCGGATATTATATTTATTTAGAAAATATGCAATACAAAATGTAAACCTTGTTGGGAGAGATGAGTCTAAAGTTAGAGCTGTTGTACTTGCTTGTTTATAATGCTAATTGTGTTTTATGTGTTTGTGTTTCGTGCTCCTCATACCTTATGTTTGACACTGAAATGTCCCCACTATGGGACAATTAAAGGATGTCTTAATGGTAATCTTAATATCAGTCTATTACAAGGCCACATGCACATCATAAATAGCACAATACCCATTTATGTAGCAGAAGATATGTTTTAACATTTTTCATACACATCTAATAATGAGGGTTTTTTTCATTCAAGTCTAGAAAGGTGACTGCATTCACAGTCTAGAATGTGTTGCAATTTCAGATTGATGACAGGATCAGATTTAGTGCATTTGATGGAATTCTCCAAACTGATCCACAAGTGGTGAATCTTTTAATGTATATGTTTTGCCGTTAGAAACTCTCTGTTTCAACTGCGCACGAGCGTGACTATCTGATGGTACTGCAGACATATTCATTCACTTTTGTTTGTTTCTGCTGATAGAGAAGACATCACATTTTTGCCAGTGATGTTTAATGTACATTTCTTCATTATTTAGAGAGATGTGAATGATGAACCATGACTAACAAATCTGCATTTTGACAGTTAACAGCCAATTTCGCGTTAGAATTACCAACTGACCTTGACCTCTGTTCGAAAATACAATAATACCAGAATGTATGTCCACTGAATGTGACTTACTATTTATTCTGCTATTGATTAGGTTTAGGGTTATCCTGGCCTTTGCCAGCCGTAAACTCCAGTCAATTATAGTTCCCTAAACGTACCTCTGGGTCTGATCCTAGTGGCTGCGGTTACCTAGCCTGACTCTCGCCAGACCCATGTAGTTCGCTGCACTTCACACATGAGTCTGGTACTGAGCCATAGTGGTTGGATTTCAGAAGGCTGGGCCTTGTAAAAAAAATCCTTGTATGTGATTGGATAGATCACTTGTCCGTTATCTTGAATTAAGTCTGCTTTCAACCACTCACATCGAAGCACAAGGCTCCCATAGGTTGCCAAATCCCAGCAAGATTTTCCAATCCAAAATCCGCGAGAATACCCACAAAAAAAACGTTATGTAATCAACTTGGGCTATCGTGATTCTGTTTATTGTCTTTCTGTTTATTTAATACCTACAAGTCTCTTGGAAAAAAATATGCGGGAACCACCAAACCTGGCAACCCTGCTGCATAGTGTGTAAACAGGAACACTGAACCAGTGCTTCAACCAAACTTTACAGGAACATTTGACTCTTAAAACACACATATATCAACATAGAACCGTCTACATCTCGCCTCAAATTGCATTAAAAGTGACATCCGTGTCTTAATTCGATCGTATTTACTCTTTTAAAAAGATTCGCGGACTTTACGCCCGCCATCTTGGATTCCTCTCGCTGCTGCATGAGAGAAGCTTGAGAAGGCAGTGAAAACCCCACGTAACACCGGCAATCCTCATTGGTCGATTAAAAAATAATCTGGGGAAGGCGTTCGCTATGGCGTCGATACCAGACCCATGTGGTTCAGCCAAACGCCTCTGGTGGAGCATGGCGGAACTACAAGGGTCTGGCAGAGCCAGGCTAGCAGTTACCTCAGTTGTATCCCATCCGACCAATCAGCAAGAGTTTGTGCCAAATTGGCTGGTTGTAGTTTGGCAGTGGCGGGGAATGCGATTAATCCGTTCTGGTTTGTCTCCAAATATCAAGAAATTGAAGCAGGAGCAAGAGGAATGTTTAGTAAATGTCATTGCTGGCAAAGATATTGTGGTGCTACTCCCCACAGGCTACGTTAGTGGCAAAGGAGATACTAGGCTAATCTGCAAAAGGAGTTAACTCCTCCCACCTGTTAATAGAGCTCAATGGAGTGAATCCAGACCTTAGTACAAAAGGAAATTAGTACGTTAGTATGGTAAGACCAGGCTAGGTTAGGGTTAACCCTATGTATATCTCATTCTATGTTTCTATGTATTTTGATATTTACATGCTGATTTCATGAAGCATTTACATCTAGTTAGCATTACAATTATTGTAGTATGTATTTCTTGTCCTTCCTGTGTGCTCTTACTACTGTCCTGCATGTGCACGGCCAAATAGAAAATTCCCCACTATGGGACAAATAAAGGTTCTCTTATCTTATCTTAGAACTAGAACTAAACCTATTCATCCTGGAGCCATTTCAATTGTCACCTGTCATCTATCAATAACCAGAATGGCAGGGGACAGTTGTAACCGCCTCCTCAGAGCACCCTCGGGGGCCGAGGATGGGTCGCCTGTAAATGAATGTCCAGTGTTGAGTGTGTGAGAAATTGCATGTGGCAGTCGTAACCGATCTTTGGATGTGATGCGGCTGTACACGGGGAAATCATGATGCTGTCTCTGATCATTAGCATCAGCAAGGCATACGAGCGGTAGAAAGCTTAATCTGAGTATGCTTGTTAACATGCATGTCTTATGTTATTTAAGATAATTATGTCAGTGTAATACTTAAGGTTTCAGTCCATTTAGGAATGATGATTTGTGACAAAATGGTATAGGAGGGGGGTGGGGTGAAAATTGGTTTTCATATGCATGGTTCTGATTAAGACAATTTTTTCTAGGCCCACACAACCCTGTTGAGGGTAGTGGGTAGTGGGTAGTCTACCAGTCTGAAGTTCTGCTTAAGCTTCATTTCGACCAACCTTCATCCAACAAATGTTAGGGTTACTCTTTCTGGGAAAAAAAAATCATACACAAATAATAACATTTCATAAAAACAATAAATATACAAATTGTATTTTATCATCAAAAAGATGTTTGAGATACATCTAACTGAAATGACATTGTGCTCACCAGGAGAGGAGGCCCTTACCATCTTTGTGGACAAAAGGCAACTGAGTAAAAAGTCGGAGGTGTCGGACTCTTCGGGGAACTCATCGGCGGTTACCCTGGAGACGCTGCACCAGCTGGCCGCCTCCTATTTCATCGACCGGGAGAGCACCCTGCGCAAACTGCACCACATCCAGATCGCATCCACAGCCATCAAGGTATTTTTAATTTGTGACGCTTCAAAGGAGTCTCCTACATAATAATGCTAGCATTCATACATGTATAAGTCCAGAGTGGCAAATGTAATCACACAGTACTATATTAATTGTTTATGATCAATCAAACATGATACAATCAAACTATATGATTTTCAAACATTCTCACCTGCTGCAGCTCAAGTCTTTGAATTTCCGCAGTTCTCTCAAATGCACCATATTTCTTGTGAATTTCTGCTTATGCTTTGTGTAAGAGAAAATCAAATGTGCAATTCGAAATGAGTGACTCGTCTATCCGTCTAATATATGCTTTTTCTACTGTTCTTAAATGCTTCTGCTAGCCTTGCCTGAAAAGGGCCCAGTGTGCCAGCACATGCAGTATAAATGAGTATGGAGTATAAATGGCTTGATCCAGAAATGCCAAACGTGACTACGCAAATGCGTTTTTTCCACATTATCCTGCCCCGTGGCATTTTTGAAAAAGAGGCAAAAGACGGCAAAAGTGGCAGTTTCAACGGCGGAGATAGGCATGAATACGTCCGGCAATATTTACAGTCTATGGTCTCAACAGAATCAAATTTGAGTTGGCGAGTGATCCGGTTTTTACCATTTTTTTGTCATTTTGCTTGATGTGAATGGGCACTCCTGGTCAATGCTGTTTCTGAAAGGCGTTGGATCTGCTGTCGTCGATAATTTACCAAATATTGGATTTCATATTCTATTATCCTGAAATCGTGATAGTAACATAACACATTCAAAACGTTGCTGCAAGTGGGTTTTGGGGCCGGGTGAAATTTTTTAAGTTAAATTAAACTTAAAAAATAAACTTCACCATTTGCAAGTAGAACATGTCAGCAGCTGTGAACATTGACAGATGGAGTTGCAACTTTTAATTAGATGAGTGTCTGCTACAGTTGTACTTTTCTTGCTTTGTCAGTAAAGAGTCACATTTCTAAGGTTGCCATGTAAGCTTCATTTGATTTTGACAGTTTGATTTTTGGGAACATTTCTTAAGAGACAAAACCAGAGAGGAATCAAAGAAGATGTTCTTCTTTATTTCTTTCATACAGGCTTCAAAAGGATCCTGTGATGTCTCAAATGTTCATCAAAAGCAACATTTTGTTCTCTTTTTTTAAGATCTCTCTGAGCCATCTGGGCTGGATTTACAAGGAGTCTATCCAAGATTTGTCAAATAAAAAATATATAAAAACAAATTATAATAATAATATATATTTGATATACCGTATACAGTATATTCTTAGGTTTTTTTTAGGTGCTCAAAGGAACTTCATCTATATGTTTTGTTTGGACAGTCTCCTTGGTAAATATAGATTCAAAGTTTTTTAAGAAAAGTTGATGCATGTAATTTTCAACAACGATCATTTAGATTTGTTCACATAAATCTGCTTTGGCAAGTTCATGTTACCTGGAGCATCTCATACAAGGACTTTTTTAAAGTTTATTTTGTATTATGTTTTTGTTTGTTATTTTTTTATCTCAGCAGGCCTTGGTTTATAACAATTAATAGATAAAAACTTCTCATGCATTTCTGTCTGAACATTCCTTGGATTATAGATGGAGTACCTACTGTAAAAAAACACTTTTATGTAACTAGTTCCATCCATCCATTTTTTCCGCTTTATCGGTTGCCGGGTCGCAGAGGCAATAGTCTAACGGGGAATTTACACAGTAGACGTTAACAGCGCGTACGCGTTGACTGCGCGTAACATTATTTGGGTGTATCCCCTGTGTAGTCTATGGAGCAGTGTAGAGGACAGTACGGGCCAGGGGACTGATGTAGAGCAACACAAATCACATGCATGTGTTTGTCTTCATGGTCTCTGTGCGCTGGTTTGGCCAAACGAGAGACTTTGTGAAAGAAAAAAAACCATGTCTAGAATTACTGTAAAACCTGCTGCTCCTCCTGCTAATCCAATCCAATCCAATCCACTTTATTTATATAGCACGTTTAAACAACAGTTACGTTTCCAAAGTGCTGCACAAAAAAGTATAAAATAAATAAAAACTTATCCTTAGCTTCACCAAGTATAAAAGAATAAAAATATATAAAACAGATTAAAACCATAAATAGAAATAAAATAAAATACAATAAAAACACAGAGGACCACACAACTCACGCAGTGTTAAAAGCCAAAGAGTAAAAGTGGGTCTTAAGACGAGACTTAAAACACTCTACTGTGGGGGCCGTCCGGACATGGAGGGGAAGAGCGTTCCAGAGCTTAGGGCCGACCACAGAGAAGGCTCTGTCCCCCCGGGACTGTTTAGATACAAGTGCTGTGTGTGTGTAGATGCGGTCTAAAGCCAAGGGTCACTAAAAAAATCATGTTTCACATGTGTTCAATGGGAGACGCATTGCTGCGCGCACAAAATTAGAAATCCATCCTAAATTAGACGCAGCCTCGCGTCAATACGTCCATCATACGTCCGTCATACGCGCGTATAACACTAGTAGTGTAAATATCACCATTGGTTAACATGGAAAAAAGGTACGCACATCTTCTGCGCATATAACGCGTATGTGCTGTAACGCCTCCTGTGTAAATTAGCTTTTGGTTTTGGTCACAAATTTTCCCATGAATGTATTTTTGTTGTGCCAAAAGGGTCTCAGTATGGAATAGATAGCATGTTTTCTAAATAAATTTAATTCTGGTAAGCAAACAATGTGTTGGTATGGTAATTATTGACTGTTAATCAATGTATTGTACAAATTAATGCCATTGTATTGTACCAGATCGGTTAGCACGCTATATCTTCTCAGCAAATAGATCTTAGGTTAAGATCCCGGACAGAACAGAGCCATTCTAAGTAGAATTTACATGTTTTCCCTGTGTCTGCGTTAGTTTCTCTGGGTCCTGACCAAGCCGAGCATCAATGGGTACTGTACTACAGTGACTACTGTTCCTGACTGAGGTCCTGGTGGAATTGCAGGCATCGTGGTATCTGACATATGCCCCATTTGCCATTTATGGAGTATTACATATTATTGGAATATTTGATTTAAAAGCAAAACGAACATATTGAGTTTTGGTTTGTGTTTGACAGTCTGAAGACAGGAATCTTCCATTGAGAAGCAGAGATAGCAATATCTTATACATTGGTCTGTAAATTCAGTTCTGGCAGGGAGACACCATAAAAATTGAAAAAAAATAAGTCCAATAAAAAGTGTATCTGAAGCAATAATGTTTTCACATGGTGGAAAGCTATCATTTTGTATATTACCCCTTTAAGCATAATTAAATACCTACAGTGATAAAATGTTGATGGTTTACAATTCCTCCTGACAGACTCGCCCACTTAAATTGGCGTTGAATTTCCCTCGGCTCCAGCCACGGGGAGTCTCTTTACTGGGACCAGATTGTTCATTTGGAGCTCAGTGTGGTTTTGATTTGAAATGGAGGCTGACTTCTGTTCTCCAGCTGTGGACTGACATTTTGCAGAATTGACAGGAAGGAGTGAAGTGAAGGGATAGAGATGGTTTGTGCTGAGTTTGTGTGAAATTGTAGCTGAATTGTTTGAGTGTTTTCAGTCGATGTTGGGTATTGTAAGCTGTTTTTGAATCAAGACAGGACACATTGATTTTTGACATATTGCTTCCGCGACATGCTTGTGATAGAAACAAGGCCGAGTCTGAACTTACAACACCTGAACTCACATTCATAGATTCATACGGATTATTATATATTTTAATCTAAATGAGTTCTATTTGGTAAATGACACAATATTCACATCTATTATTATCTGAATTATTCATATCACTTCGTACAAAGCGCGGCATGGCGGCTAAGTGGGTAAAACACTCGAGGTAATTACACTATATTAAAAATAGAAAAACAGGAAGGTAGATTCTGTGACAAAATATAAACAGTGTGCCAACTAAGTTCTGGCACTAGTTTATGTAAAAGAGAAACTATATCGACACTATAACCTAGAACCTGCTGCCAACAAAAAAAATGACCATAGGGTTTGAATATTGTAAACTTGCAATATGCTTTTGTTCGGGTTTTTATACATTTAATAATTTAGGCAAGAATAAAAAAACAGGCTCTAGAAGGCTCTAGCTTTAAAATGATGCATCACATAAACATGTGATATGTACAATGAATTTTAAAATACGCAAAGAAATATTTTGTGCCCAAGCCAATTGAGGGCAGTGTATTTGCATGAAATATTGGCCTACTGAACCCACTATGAAAATAATAAATAATGTATGTCTTCAAGTATAATCTTTATACCAATGGTGTAACTGCATTGCATTAAAAGAGCAAGAGCATGCCCATTATTTTATACATTGTGAATATTAAGGATTCAACAAAAACGTTAGATTTATTATGACTCCAAACACCCCTAGGCAAGGCAAGGCAAGTTTATTTATATAGCACAAGGCAATTCAAAGTGCTGATCAAAATAAGAAAGCATTAAAATCATAAATATTCACATACACATTAAAAAGAAAGATAAAAATATAAAAACCCTCAGTTGTATGCACAGCTAAACAGAACTGTCTTTAACCTGGTTTTAAACATTGTCAGAGAGGAGGCCTGTCTCACAATTTCAGGTAGACTGTTCCAGATTTTAGCAGCATGAATCTGAAAAGCAGCCTCCCCATGTTTAGTTCTGACTCTGGGCACTAACAGGAGTCCAGTCCCTGTGCTCCTCAGAGTCCGGGCTCGTTCATATGGATATGAATATGAATATTCTAACCTACTGGAGACAAATGCATGGATAAGAATCTCCAAGTCTGCTTTAGACACTATGTTTTTGATCCTGGCAATGTTTTTTAGATGGGGTCGAACCTGGGACCAGAACAGAACAGAGAACAGAACACGCAGATTGTTGCTGCAGCCTTCAATAATTTCAGAAAAATACCTTTCTCTCGTACTACGTAGCACCCGGTTAAACTCGCACAACTTATCTTTGAAGATCTCGTAATCAATCTGGAGGTTGGACTTGCGCCACTTCCGCTCGGCTCTCCGGCACTTTCTCTTTTGTGCCCTGACCGAGTCTGCTTTGGCCCATGGCGCCTT